AATTTGAATTCTTCTTTTCCTATGTTCCTCGGCAATACAGAAATGCATATACACAGGTATAATTAGGTTAGAGCCTCCAAATAAGAAGAAAATGACTGGTGCTGGCGGTGATAAAGGTCTTTTGTGTTGATTCCAGGAGACCGGGTCGGCGGAGGGTTCTGCATTTTGGAAACCGTTTGGTGTTTGACGAAATTTCCCTGAGAGAAGTATAAGTGGATGTTTGGGGCTTTGCAGCGCAAGACAAATTTCTAAGAGTTGTGTCTCGAAACTTGTTTTGTCTTTGAATCCTTTGATTTCTACTTGTTATTCTAATTTGGAAATGCTACACACAACGGGACATCGCATGCGTGGATGCGGGATGAAACATTGACCGTGGAACTCTCAATTTCAACTAGGGGTTGCGATTTTTTTTTTTTTTTCTCATTCAATTAAATTTAAACTCAAAATTAAAATTGGAATTTTTAGAATTCTTTAATTGGTAAAATAAAAAAAGTATTTTATAGGACCAAATGCATACTAAAAATGTAGTTCGGTTTATAAATTTATGAAAATATCTTTAATAAAATAAAGGTAAAAAATAAGTTTATTAAAAATATTTTAATAAATGTATTAAAAATATTTTAATATGTAATTCATCTCATAAAATATAACCTCTTTGTGAAAAATAAAAAATGATTACTAGTATTTTAAAAATTAGGAAAAATATACACTTGTGTGCCACTCATAGGATTAGAGTTCAATGATAACGAGTCCTTTCTTAAAATTTTCTCTCTGGTAGAGGAGTCTTCCCCAATTTTCTTCCTCACAATTACTTCCTCAATCACAGCCGACTGTTTTTGCTTTGGAGCCCTTAACCCTAGGAACCACAAGGGAGCGGCATATCCTAGTTTGGCATACCCGAGATTGGCTTGCGGTGGTGTATCTGTTGTTTATCGACTGTAGTTTGTCATTGCTACAAGTTTGTTGTCGATGAGCTAGTGTGTCAATGCCAACCTTCAAGCTTGTGGGTCAACTTTTATTGGTTTGAGGGCAACACCTCCTATTAGTTTATGGGCTTGTGTTGATTTCCAAATAGACGACTTGGAGGCCATGCTACTGCATGAGGTGTGGAACAGCGAGGATGGAAAGATTCTATCTTGGAGATAAATCAGTTTATTAGAGACTGGAGTTAGGTGGCTGGTTTCAAAGGTAAAGATGTGGTTTTCTAGTGATGATGGACATTTTAATTATTCCTGGTCTAACTCAATTAATTGCATATGATTTGGAGGGTGGAGATACCTTTTTCCCACTTGGATAATTGCTCTATGATTATGATAGGGCTATAAGTGAGTGGAGACTATTGTTAACCTAATTACTTGCTCTCCTCAAGAAACGAGTTTAGTAGGTGTGAATGTCTAGTGCTCATAGTGACTTTCATTCTACATCTATAGCCTTGTTATGCTCATACAACAATTGTTAGGTCAATCCCTAGTGCAAAAGCCTGTCTTTATTTAATTGTTTAAATTCATCATGGTATAATTTAAATCTGTAACTAGTGTTATAAGTTGTGCTCATAGTGATTTGCTTAAAGATTCTAATGTAATCTCATTTTCTATTTTCAATAATAATCTCTAGTTTTATCAACAAAATTTAGAAAAATACAAAGTAGAAATCAATCAAACTAAGGGTGGGTTTGAAATTATTATGAGGT